GTTTAGGGTTTAGGGTTTAGGGAAGTCTTAGGGTTTAGGGTTTAGGGTTTAGGGTTTAGGGTTTAGGGTTTAGGGTTTAGAGAAGTCTTAGGGTTTAGGGTTTAGGGTTTGGGGTTTAGGGAAGTTTTAGGGTTTAGGGTTTAGGGTTTAGGGAAGTCTTAGGGTTTAGGGTTTAGGGTTTAGGGTTTAGGGTTTAGGGTTTAGGGAAGTCTTAGTACTTAGGGTTTAGGGTTTAGGGTTTAGGGTTTAGGGAAGTCTTAGGGTTTAGGGTTTAGGGAAGTCTTAGGGGAGTAACTAAGGGGGGAGGGGGTTTTAGGGGACGATGCTTCCTCAAATGAGCAAGATTAGGTCCGTATTACTGGCATTAAGGCCCCCCTGTAGGCTTTTCCAAGGGTCCCTATACTTCTAGGGTTTAGGGCTCAGGGTTTAGCTCCAAAATCTAGCTGCCAAAATAGTTGAAACCAGAAAGTTGGAGCATCCTACTGCTCATGCCCTTCAGGTAAAGTATAGGCAGTATAGGGACTCCCGGAAGTAATCATCATAATCATCCGTAGTCTGTGCTCCAAGTTTCCGGGGTTCACCGTAAGGGTGTTGGGGTTCAGTTGCAGCTGGGTAGTTCTCAAAATTGGGGTCCCTTCTTAGGTCCTCAATATGGTACGGCACCCTTATAAAAAGGATCCGAAAAGGGGCCCCCAATTTAGGAAGCTACCCACCTAGAACAATGCAGCCAGCTCTAAACTCCAACACACCGTCGGCCCGACCATGGGCCCTCGACCCGGAGACCATCTTAAACCCTAAACCCTAAACCCCAAACCCTAAACCATGCTTGTGGATGTTGGTTCAAAATCGACAGTACCGAGAAGGCTCTTAGGACTCATAATCTAAGGCTTTTGAGGGTTTAGGGTTTAGGGTTTAGGATACAATAATCAAGCCTGTGTAAAAGGATACTATAGAAGGCTTTTGGGCTATTTTGAGCTTTGGCGTAATGCATGAACAAGCATTCGACACCGTAAAGCACTAGAGCCTTACACGCCCTAAGCAACCCTATCAACAACAACTGCGGCCTTTGTGAAACCCTGTATGGCCTCCAAAAACCCAATAACATCTGTAGGAACTCTATGTAAAGCCCGCATAAAGCCGTAAACCCAAAATCTTAAACCATGCGACAGGGAAAAACCCAAAACCCGAAGCCCTAAACACCCGAAGCCCCAGACGCTAAAACTGCAAAGAGTGAGCATTAACAGCCCGGGAAACCCGGCCCGAAACACTTAAAATCTTAAGCCGCTAGACCTTTAAAAACCCTGCGAACCTAAACCCTCAGCCCTAAACCCTACACCCTAAACCCTACACCCCAAGCCCTAAACCCTACACCCTAAACCCTAAACCAGAAGCCCTACACCCTACACCCTAAACCCTAAACCCGAAGCCCTAAACCCTACACCCTAAACCCTAAACCCGAAGCCCTAAACCCTACACCCCAAGCCCCCTAAACCCTAAGCCCTAAACCATACAAGCCGTTGCCTGTGCCTTTCTTGAGGCTACCTCTCCCAGCAGTGGCACCAGGCCTTGCGCCTCGCACCCGAGGCTCGCTATATCCTACGGTTCGGGTTCAGGGGTTTGGGTTTAGGGTTTAGGGTTTAGAGTTTAGGGTTCATGGGGTTAGGGTTCAGGGTTTCGGGTATAAGGTTTTCAGGCTGAGTTTTGAAGGTTTGAAGGACTTCAGGTTCGGAGGGGTCGCCATTTAGGATGTTGGGCATAGGGCTTCGGGTTGACTTTAGGGTTCAGGGTTTAGGAGATGCAAAATCTTGGTGTAGCAGCTAGTCTGATGCAAACATGGTTTTGCATCTAGGGTTCAGGATTTTGCAGCTCAGGCTTTAGGATTCTAAATGGTTTATAGCCCACGGGCATGAACATGAGCAAACGCGACGGTGATGGCGCGCGGGCACCCCATTTGAGCCACCAGTTTCCCTCACCGTCTGTGAAGCGGCGGTACTAGGCTTTCCGGGCTTCATGATGATGCGATGCGCCGTTTTGTAGATAGTGGAACATAAAACCACGTGTCCAGTGTAGGGCAATCCTCATACCCGACATGCAAAGCGAAGTGGCCTCATGCATGTAATGTAGGGGTCTCAATAATTACCTACAGTATTTTGGGGGTTCCTTATTCTAATTATACCATACAGGACCCCAAAACCCTATTCTAATGACTAAGGCCCCTACATGAGTCTCTTGGGGCCGTCAACTGCTGAAAGCTTGCAATAGCCCGACGCCTCGAAAGTTGGAGCTTCCAGGAGCGGTTGGTTCAGGTGGCCAAAAGCAGCGACGTGTAGAGTTTAGGGATGGATAGGTGACGTCTGCCGGAATCTTGGCTCCGATGTAAAGGCTTAGGATTTAGGGTCAGGGTCTCTTCCTATGCCCGGATGCAAAACAACAAGAGGGGGTTAAGGATACAGAGTTCAAGCCATCCCTGGCCATACCTTAAGAACCCCAAACCTACTTTTTTGTAGGGTCCCTATAAATCCCATATTAGGGATTATAATAAGAACCTACAAAAAAGTAGGTTTTGGGTTCTTAAGGTAGGGGTACCGGAAGCATGCCCAGAACCCCTAAGTTCCAACCTGAACTGGCCTCGAGGTGGCAGCCCAAGAATCCCAAGCCCCAAGACCCCTTCAGAGCAGAAATCGCTCAGCCCCAAGCGATACTTCGAACCGTGCTGTTGATGCAGCAGCAGTGACTTACGCTTTCGTTGTGCTCCCACTCGTTCCTGCCATGTTGCGGGTGTGGAGTCTTTCTGGCGACGAGCTGACGTCTGTCTCCAAGGAGGAATGCCGTCTCGTGCGCGATGTGAAGGAGCATTTGCGCACACGCTGTGGCTTCCCAGTGTGCCTGCAACAGCTCCTGTATGAGGGCCGATGCTTAGGGGATGATGCGGAGGCCCCCTCTGACATGCAAGTGGTTCGGCTGACGGAACTCCACGGAGATCAGGAAGGAATTGCCGGACAAGAGTTTGTGGAGGCAGCCCGAAGTGGCAACATAGAAGCCGTACGTTTCCTCTTGGAAGCAGGCGTAAAAAGGGACTGGGGAGACGAGGCAGGCTTTACAGCTCTCCACCGGGCGGCCGAGAAGCACTCGGAGATCTGCTCCCTGCTGCTGGAAGCTGGTGCTAATACGGAAGTCTTCAATGAGAATGATGAAACCCCTCTCATTCTCGCAGCTCGTGGCGGCCAGACTGAAACTGTATGCTCGCTTGTGGATGCCGGTGCGAACATCGATGCGCAAGACGGTCTCTGCAGAACCGCGGTCATGGAAGCAGCTGCTGGGGGACACTCGGAGATTGTGCGCCTTTTGTTGGATGCTGGGGCCGACGCCAATGAAGGCGATGATCGTCTGGACACCGCTCTCATTAAAGCCGCACGTGGAGGACACACTGAGATCGTGCAAATGCTGTTGGACTCTGGAGCCGAAAGGGACACAAAGAATGGTGTGAGAGCGACTTCACTCATTTGCGCGGCAAGTTACGGCCATGCAGAAATTGTACGGCTACTTGTGGGTGCTGGTGCAGACATGGACGTCCGGGATCGTGATGGCCGAACAGCTCTTGCTCACGCACGGTTTGCAGGCTTCGCTGAGGTTGAAGAAATCCTGCGTGATGGGCACCGAACAAAGCAACGCCGGCTTTGATCAAGACCTCGCCTGAGTCATAGCCGGCTGGCAGCGACACGCCATACCTGCCTGCAGCTGGAGCCGCGGGGCCCAGATCGGCATGACCCACGGAGCCCAAAACGCAGCACTAAGAAGCGCTTCCGCCTTTCTGCCGAGACTTTCGAGGCCCAACTTGAGATCGCAGAGGCTTCTAGGCCCTCTAAAAAGGTGCATCTTCTCGGGTGCAGAAGTTTGGGTCTCAAGCCTCCAGCTGAACCAGGCAGTGGTACAGGTTTTGCAAACTGGACCAGGGTTCTGCATGCTTGGCATTGGTAGTTTTGTTTTTGGGTTTGAGGGTGCAGTTCAACTTACATCCTGCCCGGCCATGAAGCCCTGGAGCGACGTATATGTTATATGCATGCAATATATACACAAATGCTGACTTGCAAGTGTTTGTAGGTTGGGTTGGGCTAGTGGACGATGTACAAGCGATCTGAGGCGCATGCCCTGGACTCCATTGACAATGCTGTCCATGTGCTTGCCTACTGTTCGTAGAAGTGCCAGCGATCGTAGAAGGAATAACAAGGATTAGTTTTGGCAAACTACAAGCCACGAACAACAACAACAACAACGAACCAACATTTACCAGCCTGCACGGATAGTGGCTCTTGTGCGAAGAAGAAAAGGATTTGACTGACAGCAACAGCACACATAATATGAAGGCAAACACGTCTCCGACGAAGTAACGGTAGACAATAAGACGTAGCAGTAAGAAACGCAACAAGAATGGCACGAACGATGCTAGGAAACCCAGGGGCTGCCATAATTGAATCGGCCCAGCGAAAAATCAGACTTGAAGCCCAAATTTAGGGGTTTAGGGTTTAGGGTTTAGGGCTACCTAGCTACTAGCAAGGGCTATCATAACCTGTAGCATAGCAGTAGCTTGATTTCTGTCGGTAGTATTGAAACACAGTGTTCGATACTGCAAGAAGGTTCCTTCACCCTACACCCCAAACCCTAACAACCCTAAACTCCAAAACCCTAACAACCCTGAACCCTAAACCCCAAACCCCAACAACCCTAAACCCCAAAGCCCAAACCCTGAACCCTAAACCCTAAACAACCCTAAACAACCGCAAATCCCAGACCCCAAACCCCAAATCCTAAACCCTAAACCCTAAACCCTAACACAAACCCTAAACCCTAAACCCTAACCCCTAAACCCTAAACCCTAAACAACCCCAAACCCTAAACCCTAAACCCTAACCCCATTTTTTCCTCAGAAAAGAGCAAAAAGCCATCGCTGGAGCAGCGGCAGGTCGGACACGGCGACCTTCGGAGGCTTGGGGTTTAGCTTTTGGGGTTTAGGGAGTTAGGGGTTTAGGGATTTAGGGATTTAGGGGTTTAGGGAGTTAGGGG